ATTTATACTTTTATATGTCTAACCATGTTGTCCATTTAGTTTAGAGTTCGGCTAAAAAGGAATTTACTTCACTAATGAGCCAAGAAAGGAAGGCAGGGACAAAAAATTGGTAATTCTAATTTTTGTGGGGTCTGCACTCTTCCTTCTATCTGGTTCAAGTTGTTCACTAGTGAACTACTCCATGGTTCAGTGTTTACTCATTATATTTAGAATGAACCTACTTTCCCCTCTCCATTTATACAGTTAAGATCATTAATTTAGAATAGAGTCACAAATTACAGTCAAATAACTTATCGGAGTTTATGGAGAAATTTATAAGTGGTAGAGAGAAATCAAATCCTTAGCCGAGTTAGTCCCACAGTCGGTGTACCATTGCATATATGTGCTGTTTATTTTGGCTGGCTCATAAAAAAAGTGTCGTGCTGTTGTAATAGTATCAAGCAATCAAAATGTGTCACACATGAACATACATGTCACTTGTATACAATGTGGGATAGAGGATTCTATTCATCAGAAATTCAGTCATTGAAGGGGATAACATGTGTATCATTAAATCTATCTAGCATACACGAAAGATCCTTTGAGGGGTTGCTAATTATATAATCAATGCAGATATGGACCGTACGAAGATGGATTGCTACAATTTCATCCTTTGTTTTAGAGAAGCTAACACGGCAGGAACCTCATGGAAGCGCAAAAAATGGCATCAGCGCACCTCCTTAACAGCATTGCTACGGTCTGATTGATGTTAACTTTGCCTCTATTATCGGAAAGGATGTTTTAAGTTAATCTTTTCCTATAAGTTGTATTCTAGTATTCACTCTATATAAACAAATGGAGATCTTTTTCATAATATATATACCCCCATTGTAATTTATGTGGCCAAGTTTAGCCACCAATGCATGTAATACTAAAGTATATTTAATTTCTGTTTTTTTTTTTTTTTAATTTTTTTTTAGGAACATAAAAATTTAAATTTAAAGTACTCTATTTTTGTACCAATATGTATAGTAAAAACGTATTGAAAATTTGAATATATGTTGCTATATATGCATGCTCCTGTAAGAGTATAAGTCCTATTGCTCCATGTGTTTCACTTTCGCACCATTTTCTTTGGAAACTTTTTCTTCAATGCAATATGCAAACTTACTCTCTCTTTCAAAACCAACATCTTACTGAGTATCCTATAATTCTTTGTTAGCAATCTTGACAATTTGCAATTTCGATCATAAATATCTTTGATTGAATATATAAAAAAGCTAATTTTATGAAAATATAAAATGAAACTAATTCGACAACAATTTTTTTACTCAATGACATTCAATATAATTAAATACATGTATGCGGTGACACTAGACAATTAGTACATAAATTGTGCAAAGCTAAACGTGTTAAAATTGTTACATAAGTAATTTATTAACCTCTAAATAGGTAAAATCTTGGTACTTATTAGTTATTACATTCTAACTTATATAGTTACATATTATGTGGTTCAGTTAGAGGTACCCTAGGGTGCTTAATACTCTGTAGTCAGTGTCACCAACGACTTTTAGTATGTTCGTTACAGTAACCAATAACGGAAAAAATTGGCACACGTATGATAAACAAATTGTGGATCAACAGGTTTAATTTGGAATCATATTCTTCAATTAGCTTATTTCACGGGTAAAAAGCTTTCAATCAACCAACGCAGGTATTTGTTTATTACAAGATTATACTAATCGCCACGCATGAGCTCTTTCTATCCATGCTCTAATCTAATCACTTTAAAATCGTTTCAATCTTTAATTGTTTTCTCATGGCAATCAATCTCATACCCTCTCTTCTAAACAAGTTGATTGTAAACACATCACTCATTGATCAACCTCATTATTCAATCTCCATTGGTGGATTTTCTACCAATTAATGCATTCATTTGCTCTTATGAACACACTATTAATCCACATTAATTCAAAACTCATTTAATATCAATATAAACTTAATTAATTAGTAAATAAGTTCATTAGTGAATATCAAACTAAACTCACCCTTTATCTTTAGAAAAATAACAACTTATATGGTGCACATATTATGTGGTTTAGTTAGAGAAAACCCTAGGGTGCTTAATACTATGTAGTCAATGTCACCAACTACTTTTAATATATTCGTTACAGTAACCAATAACGAAAAACTGGCACATGTATGATAAACAAATAACTGTGGATCAACAGTTTTAATTTGGAATCATATTCTTCAATGAGCTTATATATTTTACAGGTAAAAAGTTTTCAATTAATCAACTTAGGTACTTTTTATTATTACAAGATTATACTATTTGTCACGTATGAACTCCTTTTATCCATGCTCTAATCTAATCTCTTTAAAATCGTTTCAATCTTTATTTTCTAGTGGCAAATAATCCCATACCCTCTCTTCTAAACAAGTTGTAAACACGTCACTCATTGATCAACTACTTCATTATTCAATCTCCATTGGTGTTTAATGCATTTCATTTGCTATTATGAACACACTATTTATCAACATTAATAGGAAATTCGTTTAATTTCGATATAAGCTTAATTAATTAGTAAATAAGCTCATTGATGAATCTCAAACTAAACTCACCCTTATTTTTCCCAATCCATGGCATGTTCTTGCATGGAAGTAGAAAAATATCATTAAAATTGATGAACTCAAGAAGTCAAAGGGTAGCTCATTAGGTAGTCAACGATGGTTGTAAATGATAGTTTTGGTTGTATCCATTGAAACATCACGCACGTGCATCACACTTGGAATTTAGCCAAGATAAAATGGCAGGGTAACAAGAAGATCTGCAACACTGAATTTTGTTTGTACAGAAAGAAGCATCTAATTAATATTTTTAAAAGTTTGGCATAACATTTTTTACAAGTGTTAGAAATTAGCAAAGTTTAGGTGTGTTTTTTCATTACAAGTGTTTTTATGTGTCGGTATAATTTTGCAATTGATTGACAAGTTTCAAAATGTTGATGCTATGTTTTCAGAACTGTTGCTTCCCAATTCCTATGCATTTTGACTTCCTTATCATCCAACACTTAGGTATGTACATACATACATAAACTTAACTAACTCACCACTTCTCTCTCTTCGTCCTCGTCATCACCCAAAACTCTTTGATATCTCTATATACTTCCCCTGTTTCTATATACTTACGACAATACGAGCCAATGCATAATTTTGACCACAAATACAGTCATATACCTGCATTGAAACTAATCGAACCTTACAACATCATGTATACTACTATAGTGTCAAAGTTAAATTTGCATTAGTGACGAATGATGTATATATCTTGTCCTTACTCAGTTATTATGTGAATTTAAAAGTGTCAAAGTCAAATTGAAATCAGTAACGAATGGTAAATGTATCTTGTCCTTAGTAACTTATTATGTGAATTCAAAGTGTCAAAGTCAAATTACAATCAATAATGAATGATGTATATATCTTGCCCTTACTAAGTTGTAGGAATTTAAATACTTATTCCCGTTTCAAATGCTCTACTTAGCAAATTGAGTTTCCAAATTCACTTTTATTATTTCTTTTTTGGTAAACTTTGATTTCTTACTACTATCGCCTCTTATCCCACACTATTCTCAATTCTTTTCCTCATTCTCTTTCTTTAAATTCCTATAATCAAAGAGGATTCTTTTTCATTTTCTGTGTGCTATCTACATATACCCCACCATATACTCTCAATTTAGTCTTTTTATTTTCTTTTATTTAAACATACAAACAATCCACTTTTATTTTTTGACAAACAAAAATCCACTTTAATGCAAGAGGATCCTCTCATACTCCACAACATTTATGAGGATCCTTTTAATTCGATCCTTAAAGAAAGCTAAAAAATTAGGAATTCTTCTTTGATGTTGTTGCTCGTATACTTTCAATTCCTTTCGTGTTTTTTTTAAGTGTTACACGATCATAGTTTTTGAATTTAGTAATATTTTATCTTTCTCCTCTTATGGTGTCGTCCAAATCCGCTTCTACTTTTTATATTTCTACTCCCTCAGTCCCCAAAATTTCGACCCTTTTGGGTTGATTTTGCGGTTATTAAGAAACTTAAATAAAAAGAAATAAAAACATATTGGAAAGATAAATTTACATGGGGTTTGTAAAAAAATTAAAGCGATAAAGTATTAAAAATTCATGAAAAAACAAAATTTATATGGGAAAACTAATTTTGCACAAATATTGTTGTAAATTGGTGGGTATTTTAATGCAAATGGATCGATCATTTTGGAACTAAAATTAGGCCAAAAGGGTCGAAGTTTTAGGGACGGAGGGAGTAGTATTTTTTCCCTCTTTACATCACATTCATTAATAATCAATAATTATTATTTATTAACCATATTATCTTTTATTATCATTTTTTTTTAATATTCCAACTATCTCATTTATTGTTGTACCTCATTATTTAAGTTACTTAAATTGCTTAAAATTATGTTCCTAACATTCAAGTCAATTTAATTGTGTGCCTAAACCTGCGTGCCAGTCAATTTAATTCCTTATAACTATGTGCTGGTCAATGTAACACTTTTAAAAAAAAAACAAAGGAAGTATAAGTCATTTATAGAGTACCTCATATGTACTCCCTCCGTCCCAAAAAGAACGACCCATTTGGGTTGATTACGCGGGTATTAAGGAAGTTAAGTAAAAAGAAGTAAAAGTATATTGGAAAGATAAATTTACTTGGGGTTTGTAAAAAAATAGAGAGAGAAAGTAATAAAATAACATGGAAAATCAAATTTTTATATAGGGAAGCTAATTTTGCACAAATATTGTTGCAAATTGGTGGTATTTTAATGCAAATGGGTCATTCTTTTTGGGACAAAGTTTTGGCCAAATGGGTCATTCTTTTTGGGACGGAGGGAGTAATAAGATTTAACCTTCAAGCCAAAAAAAATATTTTAACATTTTAACAACTCGAGAACAAAACTAGTATATATATATATATATCGCCCTCAGAAAGGTGTAATATCCTTTATATCTCCAACTCTCTCTAGGTGTATATCTCCTTAAAGAAAAGGATTTTAAAAAAATGATATCATTACAAGATTTGTTTAATGTGTTATCAAATATAGTACCCCTTTATGTAGCAATGATAGTAGCATATGGTTCCGTGAAATGGTGGAAAATATTTACACCAGACCAATGTTCAGGAATCAATAGATTTGTTGCTCTTTTTGCTGTTCCTCTTCTTTCATTTCATTTCATCTCAAAAAACAATCCTTATGCAATGAACTACCGCTTCATTGCGGCGGATACTCTCCAAAAACTCATTGTCTTATTTGTCCTTTTTCTTTGGTGTATGCTTAGTCGTAGAGCCGGTAGTGGTGGTGGTGGTGGTGCTGGTGCTGGCTCGCTCGAGTCGTCTATCACCTTGTTTTCACTTTCCACACTACCCAACACTCTTGTGATGGGTATTCCTTTGTTAAAGGGGATGTATGGAGATTCTTCAGGGGAATTGATTATGCAAATTGTTGTGTTACAGTGTATTATATGGTATACTATATTGTTGGTTATGTTTGAGTTTAGGAGTGCAAGGTTATTAATTTCAGAAAGATTTCCTGATAATTCGGAATTAATTACATCAGTTAAGGTTGATTCTGATGTTGTATCACTTGATGGGAAAGAGGGTTTGGAAACTGAGGCCAAAATTGGGGATGATGGGAAAATTCATGTTAAAGTTAGAAAATCAATGAGTTTTAGATCAGAGGGTTTTAGGGTTCCTTCTAACTTGACTAATGTAGATATTTATTCACTTCAATCTTCTAAGAGGGTTTCTAGTTTTAATGAGATTGATACTTTTTACTCTTTTGTGAATGATAATAGAAAGGGTGGTGGTAGTAGCAGTAGTAGAAGTCTAGGGGTTTCGAGTTTTCGAAATTTTGGGTTTGATGAGGAGAAACAATGTGGTGGTGGTGGGGAATATCGAAAGCCTTCAACGGGAGGGATATTTGCACCGGTCGAGGAGCCGACACCGAGGAAGGAGGAGATGATGAATAAGGGTGATGATAGTGGTGGGAGAGGTTTGCATGTGTTCAAAGGGAGTGATGAAAACTATCATGTTCATGAAGGGAAAAATGCTAACCCTAAAGGTATGCATGCTTTCCTACTATTTTTTTGGTTGTATGGCAAAGTGTTAATTTGTCAACAAGCCTAAGATATATATCCGTATCATCAAAGAATCTAATCACGTAATTCGTATAATTTTATTCTTTAAAATCATCTGATAATGAGTAACTCACCGGACTTATATGTTAATAATCCATGAAATTTATACATGCAATTTTGGAATTTGGAGAAGAAATAATCCATAGTAAATGACTACAGTTTTTTCTTCTCTTTTTTGACAACATTTTCAGTGGAGCTAATATCATATTAATTTTATTTGTTTTTTTTAATGATGTAGATTATGATAATTATGGAAAGGATGGGCTCGAAGTTGAGAACAAATGTGGCAAGAATGGGCAAGAAGTTGAAGGCCCAATGTTAAATCACTGTTCAATAAAAGTTGATAAGGCCGAGCCCAAAACTGCTGCTCTATGTGAGCCCAAGCCCACTTCAATGCCACCTGCTACAGTGATGACTAAGCTCATTTTGATCATGGTTTCAAGAAAACTTACAAGGAATCCTAACACTTACGCTAGTATTATAGGCCTTGTTTGGGCCTTGATCTCATTCAGGTGGGTGACATTAAACACGTTATTTGACCCTGTTTACTTCACTTTAAAATAACATGAGTACAGTATTCACATTTCACAAAAATACAATTTAAGTTTTAAAAAATAACAAGTTTATGACTTAACTAAAGTAAGGTTCAATTTGTATAGATAAAAAAAGGTTTAAATTAGTAAAAATAAATTTTAATCATTAAAATTCGGTAATTTTTACTAACAAACATAATTGCGTAAAAAACAAGTTTTAGTTGGTAAAATAATTGAAGTTCAAGAAAAATAATTAAATTTCAATTAATTTATCTTAAGTTTATTAAATATAATTTAATTTTAATATAATAATTTAATTTCAGCAAAAATAATTTAATTTTGGGAGGAATTTTGCAGGTGGCAAGTTGAAATGCCTGTAATTGTGGCTAATTCCGTCAAAATTCTTTCTGATGGAGGGCTTGGGATGGCAATATTTAGTCTAGGTACGGTAATTTACTTCTAGTTGATCAAATCATACGAGAAAAAGTAGTGTTGTTATGTTACTTGTTAGTTTGTTACATTTCATATATAATAATTAATTAAGTTTGATGTTATACGTCGAATTTGTAGGTTTGTTCATGGCATTGCAGCCAAAAATAATTGCCGGTGGGCATGCAATGGCCGCCTACGCGGCGGTGGTGAGGTTCTTCATAGGCCCTGCTATAATGGCAACTGCTTCGGCTATTGTTGGGTTGAAAGGAGTTCTCTTAAAGGTTGCTATTCTACAGGTAAAATTGATCAACCAAAAATAACTTAAAACTGTGTTTTTGGTCAAATACAATTCTGACCATATATTATTTTGGTAATTTGATTTTCAGGCTACTCTACCACAAGCGATTTTACCTTTTGTCTTTGCCAAAGAATACAATCTTCATCCTGAAATTCTTAGTACCGCGTAATAACTCTCTCTCGATCTTGTTCTTTTTAACTCTAGATTCACATAATCCTATCAAATGAAAACTTGTTGATTATTTCATAATTACAAGAATATTAAAGCATAAGGATTCATGCATGTTAAATGTAACGTACTATTCCCTTCGTTTCTTTCCTGACTCGGAACTATATATACTTCATATTTTTTTTTTTTTTAAAAAAATAAAGTGTTATTCAGTTTAAAATGAAAAAGTTTTTTTTTTTTTTGACAACAAAAGTATAATGTTTATAGTATAAGAAAGAAGCATAATATTGTGGAAAAATAAAATATGCTTATCATTTCTAAAACTGTATTTGACTGAATTTTATGTAGCTAATAAAATGTTCTGAATTTGGATGCAGGGTTATCTTTGGAATGTTGATAGCTTTACCAATTTCACTGGTTTATTACATCTTATTGGGCCTTATTATTAAGTGAGGGAACTAGCAGCATGCACAAAAAAAAAAAAAAAAAAAAATAAAAAGCTAGAAAAAGCAACTGGAGTACTTGGAATTGTTCTTAGAATTTACTCCTATTTTGGGTGGTATATTAATAAAAGAAATTTAATTTTATCTCTTTTTTTGGGTGGTACATTAATAAAAATATTATTAATTCTAAAGGGTGCGTTCTATTCACCGGATTTTTACTTATCTTAACTTATCTTAACTTATTTGAACTTATCTTAACTTATTTGAACTTATCTGAACTTATTAGTGTAAGATGGGAGAATTCTCCTTGGAGGCATATTATTGCTATACGCCAGTATATATACCCATTGGGTATTAGGGTTTACAAATATACAATGCTAATTATGTTCAATATAAATATTTACATATTTATATAGTCTAACACACTCCCGCAATCGAAGCGGGAGGAGGACGGACGGTTAGACTGGAGCGAAAATCTTTAAATAAGGGAATAGGAAGACCCTTGGTGAAAATATCCGCGTACTGATAGGAGGAAGGAACATGAAGTACCCGTATATGACCCAACGCGACCTTTTCTCTAACAAAGTGAATGTCCATTTCCACATGTTTGGTACGTTGATGTTGAACGGGATTATGGGACATGTATATGGCACTAATGTTGTCACAATAGACCACTGTCGCACGTCGTAGGGGGCAATGAAGCTCAAGAAGTAGGTTACAAATCCATGCGGTTTCAGCCACCACATTTGCAACCCCGCGGTACTCGGCCTCAGCACTAGACTTTGACAATGTCGGTTGTCGTTTGGAAGACCATGAGATAAGATTGTCACCCAAAAATACACAATAACCTGACGTGGAACGTCGAGTGTCGGGGCAACCTCCCCAGTCGGCATCTGTATAAGAGACTAGACCTGTAGCAGGAGTAGTAGAGAAATGCATCCCATAATCAAGTGTGCCCTTTATATAACGAATAATACGTTTCAGAGCATGAAAATGTGGCTCTTTAGGGTCATGCATAAATAAACATATCTGCTGAACGACATAAGATATGTCGGGTCTAGTGAATGTGAGATACTGTAGTGCCCCTGCAAGTTTACGATATAATGTAGCATCATCGTTGGTAGCACTAAGCTTGGACTTCGTGTCCACAGGAGTAGAGGCTGGTTTGCAATCAGACATGTTAGCTCTGGCAAGAATTTCTTGTGCATACTTTCGTTGACAAAGGAACATACCTTGCTTGGAACGAGAGACAGAAATACCCAGAAAATATGAGAGAGGTCCAAGGTCCTTCATAGCAAACTCAGCACTTAAGAGAGAAGTGATTTTCTGCCGAAGAGTGTCGGATGAGCAAGTCAGAATTATATCATCAACATACAACAAGAGATAAGCTGTATCGGCACCTCGACGGAAGATGAAAAGAGAAGTGTCACTCCTGCTATTCACGAACCCAAGAGAACAAATATGAGAAGCAAACCGTTGGTACCAAGCACGAGGAGCCTGTTTCAAACCATATATTGACCGACGGAGAAGGCATACATGTTTTGGCTTTTTAGGATCAACAAATCCCGGAGTTTGGTGCATATACACTGTTTCCTGCCAATTCCCATGAAGAAATGCATTTTTCACATCAAGTTGATGAATGCACCATTCTTTAGACACAGCCAAGCTTAGATCAGTACGAATGGTAGTTAGTTTGACAACCGGATTAAATGTCTCATCACAATCAACCCCGACCTCTTGTCCTTTTCCATTAGCCACAAAACGGGCCTTATATCGCTCAAAAGAACAATCTGATTTTTCCTTGTGCCGAAATATCCACATACCACGGATGACATTTGCATTGGGAGGACGAGGTACTAAGTCCCATGTATGTGTTTGAACCATGGCATTATACTCTTCGCACATTGCTTTATACCAGTTAGGATCTTTGAGGGCGGAAAGATGAGAGCGAGGTAAGGGTGATATTGCTGGGGTAGGAGAAGAAATGAGAGCATAGTCATCATAATTTTTGTTTGGTTTAAATATTCCATGCTTAGCTCTAGTAATCATCGAGTGACTTTGAAAAATAGAAGTTGGGGGTTGATTAGAAGAAGAAACGGGCCCAGTAAGAGGAAGCCCAGTCCGTGTAAGAGAAGAAGGAGAGGATCCACTTGCTTGGGTATCCCTCGAATGGGCCGTGGCTGATTGAATGAGCCCACAGTCCATTTGAGGCTATTCTGCCCAAGCAAAGGAGTGGATGTGTGTGCTGGTGGGCTAGACTTAGGAGGAGATGAGTTTGTGGGCCCAGACAAGGGAGGAGTAATGGGTTGGGCTTGTTGGTTAGCAAATTGAACATTAAGGGGAATAGAAAAAGGTGGAGCATCATCATCAGACCTTAAGAAATCATAATCATCCACTTTAGGTGTGTGAGAAGAAGAATAAGGAAAAACATTTTCATCAAAAATCACATGTCGTGAGATTATGACTTTGTGAGACTGGATGTCATAGCACCTATAACCCCTATGTCACCCAGGATACCCAAGGAATATACATGGGGTAGATCCAGGACTCATCTTATTTTTAGAAGTGGCCGATAAATTTGGATAGCATAAGCACCCAAAAGTACGAAGATGAGTATAAGTTGGAGATTTGTTGAATAGAATGTGGACGGGTGTAAGATAATTTAAAAGACGAGTGGGTCGAATATTTAATAAGTGCGCGGCCACATGTAAAGATTCGACCCAAAAGGAGGGAGGGAATGAAGCATGAAACAAGAGAGAACGACAAATATTATTAATAGTCCGAATCATGCGTTCGGCTTTTCCGTTTTGGGGAGATGTATTAGGACATGAGTGTCTCCAAATCATACCATTATTTTGAGAGAATAGAGTGAAACTATCATTATCATATTCCCGCCCATTATCACATTGTAAAGCTTTGATAGACATCCCAAATTGAGTTTTCATGTAAGCTCTGATACCATGTAAGATGGGAGAATTCTCCTTGGAGGCATATTATTGCTATGCGCCAGTATATATACCCATTGGGTATTAGGGTTTACAAATATACAATGCTTATTATGTTCAATATAAATATTTACATATTTATATAGTCTAACAATTAGCTCTTATTATAACTTATTTTTGTTATAAACTAAATTTAGGTATCCCTGATTAACCCTTATCACAACTTATCTTAACTTATTTTTTCTGAACTGGACTTATTTTGAACTTACTAACCCTAATCTGAACTTAAATAAGTGAAAATAAAGTGAACAGAACATGACCTAATAAATATCATTACCAATCATGAGTTGTCTTGTTAGATCCGTCCCATTATATATTTATTAATATCAAATTCTTATAATTTTTACGTGTATGGATATAAAGATATAAATATTTTAACACGTGTCTTGGAGACCATGCATACTCAAATGAAGTATGATCTTAGCTATCCTTCACAGTAAATTTATTAGGATGTGAAACAAAGTTTGGTTATCATTTTTGAATGAAAAAGTAGATGCGATGATAAACATGAATTTTATTTATTTTTTGAATGACTTTGAGTGTGAGACTCTAGCTTTTACTCCGTAGTAGCTACTAGTAAGAATAAGTATTCCTATGTTTTTTCCTCAAAAATAAAAGTATTCCCAAGTTAATTTTGATACATTGTCAAATTCAAAAATAGGTATAATGGAATATTAAATGGAGATGAATTTTTTTATTATTTATTTATTTATTTTTTTTGAGGAAAATATTAAATGGAGATGATTGAAAAAAAGAAAGGAGAAAAATAAATTGAGAAAGTGGGGCCAAGAATGTCATGCACCAATGAGGAACTAGAACATGACATATGCCATGTTCCATGACAAAGTCATCTCCATGTTCCATGCATCAATTTTATTTTATTTTATTTATTTATTTATTTATTTTGACAGTATCATGCATCAAATCAATTACGAGTTATTTATATATAAATATGTCATATAAATATATAATATATCAAGTCTTATTTACCGAAAAAAAACTCCTTCGAAAGATAGGGCAAAACTCTCTCGAGAGATAGACCGAACCTTCGTCTCGAACGCAAATCTCCGTCACGAACGATTCAACTCCGGCAGTATGGCCGACGAGTTGGCTTCAAAATATTCTGCTCTTCGCCTGGAGGAGGAGGATGGAGACCTGATTGACCTTGGTAATATTGACTGTCCAGATTCGAATGACAACATTGACTTGCTTCTTGTGGGAAAACTCTATACTAATCGTCCGATCAATGTGGAGGCGTTCAAACGAACGATGCTGAAGGTATGGAGTCTTACAAATAATTTAGTGATTAGGTCTATAAGTCCGAATTTGTTTGCGTTCCAATTTTTTCATTGGAAAGATAAAGAAAAAATATTAAGGGGTAGACCTTGGTGTTGGGAAAATCATCTCTTAATCTTGAAAGAAGTGGAGGGGGATGAACAACCTGACCGGGTTAAGCTTAGCCAATCGCCATTCTGGATTAGAGTGCTTAATTTGCCTTTTAATTGTCGTTCGAATGCTTATGTAAAGGCTGTGACATCGAATTTGGGGGAATTTATGGAGATTGAGGATGATGTGCTAGGTTTGGATAGGTATAGAAGGATTCGTGTATTGGTTGATATTGAGAAACCTCTTCGTCGATATCAATGGATGAAAGACAAGAAAGGTAATGAAGTGCGAGTGGATTTCAAGTATGAGCGTTTACCATATTTATGTTTTCCGTGTGGTATTATCGGTCACTCCGAAAAAGATTGTGTAAATGTGATTGAAGAGGAGAAAATGCAGGGGCTGAGATGGGGGTTATTTTTGCGGGCATCTCCAAGAAAAGAGGTGTTGAGGAAGGTGGAGGAGGTGACTCATATTACAACTGCCAAGAAACAACTCTTTATCACTAAAGAGAATGATCCTGCTACTGGAGGGGGGGTGTCTGTCTAGTGAGCAAAAGAATGTGGGGAAAGGGATCACTCTGTATGGGGACAAGGAGGAATTTATTGATGCTGAAAAGGAGAAGGGGAGTGGAGATTCTACTGAAATAGTTGCTAGTCCAATTATTGGTACAAGTAACAAGGGAGTGATAGGGGAGATGAGGACTACTAGGAGACATATGGAGGAAAATAATATTATCATTGATAGCCCGTGTGTTTTCAATGTGGGGTCTGCTACGGCTACTAAGCAAGGCAGGAAGAAATTTAAGGCTGCTAGAAGCAGGGGAAGGGAGTTTTCTGAGATGGAGACTGATGAGGATAATGAAGAGAGGGGTTCTGGGAAACGGAAGGCAGTGGTGCAAAGTGGTGAGGAACTCAGTGTGGTAACCCAGAAGAAAGCCAGGGGTATTTTGTTAGAAACTGGTTTGTCTGATACAATCCAAGTAACGGTGGTTGACGATGCTCAACCCCGCGAAGAGCAATGAAAACTTTATGTTGGAACTGCAATGGGCTTGGCAACCCATTGACAGTTAAAGCTCTCCGAGATTGGTGTTGGAGAGATAGGCCGAATGCTGTTTTCGTGATGGAAACAAAGATTGATGCTCAACGTCTTGAATTGATCCGTAATAGTTGTGGTTTTGCGACTGGTCTTTGCCTTAGTAGTAATAGAAGATCGGGAGGATTGGGTTTATGGTGGAGAGATCTGAATGTGGAAGTTGTGTCTTATTCGGCTCATCATATAGAGGCAAATGTGTGTGATGCTAGTGGAGTACCAAGCTGGAAGATGGTGGGAGTGTATGGGTGGCCCGAAGCAACACAAAAATATCGTACGTGGGACCTTATGCGCAACATTCATGCGGGATGTTCTATCCCGATGCTCTATTTCGGTGACTTTAATGAGATCTTGGGGGTACACGAGAAAAGTGGTGGGGTGACTCGAGGGGAGAGGCAAATGGATGGGTTTCGAAATGCACTAGAGGATTGTGGGCTCCGTGATCTTGTTTACAAAGGTAGCATCTACACTTGGGAAAGGGGGATATCGATAGATACATTGGTGAGGGAAAGACTTGACAGGTACGCTGCTTCGAACGGGTGGTGCTCTATGTTCCCGTATGCCGAGGTAATTAATTTCCCTATTTGCCAATCTGATCATGCTGCTATATTATTGAAGTTTGGGGAGAAGGATGAGTGTGATAGGAAGGGTAAAATATTCCGGTTTGAAGCTCTCTGGTTGTCTAACGATGAGTGTAGCAAGGTGGTTTCTGATGCTTGGCAGGGTGGATTGAGTGAGCCGATGCACACAACGATTGCGAGGGTGGCTGAGGACCTCTCAAATTAGGCTGGTCGTAAGTTTGGTAGTATTAAAAGAAAAATTAAAAAAGCTGAGAAAAAGTTACAGGAAGTGCAAAAGGGTTGGCTTGATGCTCGTCGGTTGGAGCACTGTAATAATATCAAGAAGGAGATTGTCGAATTAAGGAGGCTTGAGGAGTCGTATTGACACACTAGAGCAAGGTCGAATGAATTGCGGGATGGAGATTAAAACACGAAATATTTTCACCATAAAGCTGATCAAAGAAGGGCGAAATATTTTATTTCGGGCTTATATGATGAAAATAGTGAATGGAAGAGCTCTGTGAATGATATTGATGGCGTCATTGCTGGGTATTTTAGGGCTTTGTTTAGTTCGGATGATCCAGGTGGATTCGAGGAAGCGACTGCTGGTATCATGCCTCTTGTCACGGATGAAATACGGGATTTTTTGGAGATTGAGCCGACAGAGGAGGAGATTCGGGAGGCTTTATTTCAAATGCACCCAAATAAAGCTCCAGGTCCGGATGGTATGCATGCTCTATTTTTTCAAAAATTCTGGAATATTGTTGGTAGAGGGGTGATTAATTTTGTGAAGGGGTGGTGGTGTGGAGAAATTGGGTTGTGTGAAGTTAACAGAACTTGCATTGTATTAATCCTGAAATGCAATGAGCCGAAGAGGATGATGGAGTTCAGACCAATTAGTTTGTGTAATGTGTTGTACAAAATAATTTCGAAAACTTTGGCAAATAAAATGAAACATATGCTTGGCTCGATAATTTCCCCTAATCAAAGTGCTTTTGTGCCAAATCGACTGATTACATACAATGCCCTTATTGCTTTTGAAATTTTTGACTCGATGAAGAGAAAGGGAGAAGGGAAGGATGTGTCGGTGGCTCTAAAGTTGGATATGAGTAAAGCATATGATAGAGTGGAATGGAGCTTTTTGGAGAGGGTAATGCAGAAAATGGGATTTCCGCAATCGTGGATTGATCGTATCATGAATTGTCTGGCTAGTGTGTCTTTCACCTTTAAGTACAATGGAGGCATATCTAGATCGTTGGTTCCATCCCGTGGTCTTCGGCAAGGTGACCCTATATCCCCCTATTTATTCTTAATTTGTGCTGACGCTTTCTCTACTCTCTTAGAAAAAGCGGCAAATGAGAATTTTATTCATGGTGCTCGAATCTGTAGGGGAGCCCCTAGAATTTCCCATTTATTTTTTGCGGATGATAGTATTCTTTTTGCTAAAGCTACATTGAATGAATGTTCTAAAATTGCTGATATTATCAATATGTATGAAAGAGCATCTGGTTCAGAGTGTCAATCTCAGTAAAACTGAGGTAGCTTTCAGCAAATGTGTGTCTGTAGATAGAAGAAGGGAAATCACTGCTACTCTTGGGGTTAGGGAGGTGGATAGACATGAAAAGTACCTTGGTTTGCCCACGATAATTGGGAGGTCAAAGAAGGCAATTTTTGCTAGCTTGAAAGAGAGGATATGGAAGAAATTACAAGGGTGGAAGGGGAAATTGTTGTCCCGTCCGGGTAAGAAGGTACTTATTAAAGCTGTGGTGCAAGCAATTCCCACCTACATGATGAGCATTTTTAGAATTCCCGATGACCTTATTGATGAAATTCACTCAATTTTGGCACGATTTTGGTGGGGTTCGAAGGGGTCGGAGAGGAAGATGCATTGGCAAAAATGGGAATCTCTTTGTCTCCCAAAATCAATGGGAGGAATGGGGTTTCGGGATTTGAGAGTCTTTAACCAAGCTCTTCTTGCTAAACAAGGGTGGAGACTAAGCAATAATCCGGGATCCCTTCTTCACAGCTTATTGAAGGCAAAATACTTCAAGAACTCGAGTTTCTTAGAGGCGGCTAGGGGCCATGATCCTAGTTATAGTTGGCGAAGTATTTGGGGTGCAAAGGCCCTTCTTCTTGAGGGGTTGAAGTGGAGGGTTGGAAATGGTACTTCGATTAGAGTATGGGATGATGCTTGGCTCATTGGTGAGTCCTCATATCAAGTGCCATCTCCCAAATTAGACAGCAATTTGGACCTTCGTGTGTGTGATTTAATTGATGTGGAGCGTGGTTGTTGGGATAGGGGGGTGCTAGATACGGTATTCAATGAGGATGACAAACTTGCAGTGTTGAATGTTCCTATTTCTCAGAGTTTGCCAGTTGACAGTAGGTATTGGTGGCCTAATCCGAATGGTGTCTATTCGGTTCGCAGTGGATATTGGCTTGGTCGGTTGGGTGTTCTATGGACATGGGAGCTGATCCATGGGATAGGTGATTCGGAAGTATGGAAGGTCATTTGGAATTTGGATGGGCCTCCCAAGCTCAGCCATTTTTTGTGGAGAGCGTGTAAGGGGCAACTTGCTGTTAGCGCTGTCCTTTATAGCAGGCATATTGGGGTTTCTAGTAGCTGTCGAATATGTGATGATCATGATGAAACAATTGTGCATTCTCTCTTTGATTGTAGGCATGCTAAGGAAATTTGGAAATGTAGTGACTTTTGTGATTTAAATGCTGCTAACCCGGAGAATTCCTTTGATGCAAAATTATGCTGGATGGCAAAAAAGGTTTAGCAAAGAGCAATTGCGTGTCTATGCTTCACTTTGTTGGGCTGCTTGGCACTATCGCAATGAACAAATTCATGGAAGCACTCAGGATATACAGGCTGTATACTTAGTTGCTGGTTTTGTGCGATTAAATGCAGATTATAGGCTCTATAATACTCGACTGAGGGGTGTGGGTGTTGCTGTGGGATGTTAGTCTGCGACTTCGTGATCTCCTCCCTCATATGGGATTGTAAAGCTCAATGTGGATGCACATATTATGAATGGTAGGGGTGTTCAATTTGGGGCAGTTGTTCGTGACGCAGAGGGCTGCCTTCTTGCTGCGACAGTGAAGAAATATGATGCTAGCTGGTCCCCTGAGCTGGCAGAGGTGGGTGCAATGAGGTATGGAATGGAGTTGGTCCGTAGGCTGGGGCTTGTGAAGGTTGTGCTGGAAAGCGATGCACTTGGGGCTGTTCGTGCTATCCAAACCAGGCAGACTGGTTGTGATCCCATTTTATTGCTTTATGATGATGTGGTTAGATTGAGTAATGGCTTAATTTTCTTTTCTTGTAATCATGTTAAACGAGCGGGGAATACGGTTGCCCATTTCGTTGCTAGATGGGATACTAGTATGTCCCAAGAACGCGTTTGTTTGAGTTCTTTTCCCCAAAGTCTTCAAACTTTGGTGGAACTTGATTTAATATAATTTCGCTCGTTTTCTTTGGCTTCAAAAATATATATATATATATATATATATATATATATATATATATATATAATATATCAAACTATTATCTTTTCGTAACTGGAATTTGTTATAAAGAATCTCTCCTTCGTAACTAGTGTGTCCTAAACTCCTAATTGTTATAGTTTGTTATTTAAACGAGTCCCGCTTTTTTAATTACGAGTAGTTTATTTTCTAACTTAAATTTACTTGTACAGTATTTATTACTATTTGATCCAAAGTAATTGATTATAATTTAGCTTCAATGGTCATGTGATGGGCGTTAGAACGGTCGCACATTCCACACTCAATCAAACACATTTATTAACAAACACCTTACAAACCAAGCATAATGACAAGTAAGAGTTCGGTCCACAAGGAACGGGATATGGTTGCCAAAGATCTTAGCACTTAAGCTAATTCGAAGTCAATGGTGAATTGGGGTTCGTCAAGAAGACAAACAAACTATGGTTCTAAATCAATGGATTAAGGACACTGGGGAATGGGATCCACTCAACCAAGGCAAATAGACAAACGGGGAGTGAAATAGATAAGATATAACAAGGACTATATGTAAGATTGTAGACACCTAAAAATGTCTCCCCAAAACCAAACCCGATGATAAATAACCTTTCACCGCCACTATTGGTCGGGTTTAGTATTTAATCCCGAGAGTGCTTAAAAAATCGTATTTTATTAAATTCATATTTTTGAACAGTCCATGGATTAGTCTTGATGTTTGGTAAAAGTATAGTTTTAATTTCAGCCCAAACTTATTAATTAATTCTAGCCCAAACCTTTTTTATTTTATTGTTTTATTATTTATTTTTGGCCCAAACCCTTTACTTATTTTTATTTAATTATTTTCTTATTTTAGCCCGAATAATAAAAAGTCAGAAAAGGCCCGAAATTGTCAATCGACACTTAAAATGCCGAAGGAAATTAGGGTTAAAAATGTATTTAGACGGAAAAACAGGCAGGAATTTCCCGCGCCACGGCAGGTACCTACCGTGTCACGGGAATCCTTCCCGTCTGACGGTGGGATTTCCCGTGACACGGGAGGTCTGCCGTGACACGGGACATTCCGTGTCTTTTCCGCGTAAACCCTTGACGCGTTTTCTATCCCGTTTTCTGAAAATTTTCCGCGTCACGCCAAAAGTGTACCGTGTCACGAGAAAGTATACCGTCTGACGGTGGGGCTTCCCGTGTCACGGTACAGTTTGACCGTGTCACGGGATACTTTTTTAGGATTTTTCTCATTTTAGGGTTCCGTGTGCTCCCTCAGCACATTTTCCCTATAAATACCCCCTAATTTCTGATGAACGGGGCACCGAGTAATTCTCTTATTTTATTTTCTCTCTTCTATGCTTTAGCCTAAACACTAGCATACCCTTTTCACTTTAAAATTCCTTCTTCAAGCACTCAAAGGAGTCCATATTTGACTCGAGGTTCTGTCCTTAAGCCAAGGCGTGAAAGGTAGAATCGTTTGAGGGTTTGGCCCCAAAATCAACCTTATTTTATTTAATTTAATTTAGTTATTGTTTTATTATTTCCTTTGAAGTTACTAACTCGTTTATTATTTTGTAGTTGCAAGCAAACATAATCAAAGTAAGGATCATGCTCCTTTTATTTTTATTATTTTTCTATCGATTTTATGTTGTTGGAATTGTGATTAAATTGGTTTTAATATTAATGTTTATTCTATTATATTTTTATGATCACCATATTGCATGTTAAAGGGAA